GCACTCTCATTAAATTACAAACTTTTATCCATTCAAAGTAGTACGTCTAGTTTGAAAAAGAAAAATTGTTCATACCTGTTTAACAATGCGGCATGTTTCCTCAGGAATGTATTTGATGGCCACCTAAAATGTAATTCAGCTTATTTTAGGATCAATCATATGAAAATGATATTTTATTGCTTCCTATCGCCGTACGGCATGTCACGGATTAGTATTTGATGGCCATCATCCCCACCCCCTATCAGTAACAGTTTCGCGTAAGTTACGGCGTACATCGCCACGGTTTCCACTATTGAGGCAAGCGCCGACGCAAGCTGAAAACATTAAGGCTTTGTTTAAGTGAAAACGAGACCTAAACTATTCTCTGCCATTWTTAACTAGCCTTCTAGTGTCAGCGCCTACTCTTGTGCTCGTGAATATCAGACTTTAGCAAGCAARTGAGGCAGCTTATTATCCAAGAAGCCAAATTTACAAGTCGCAAATGACTTTCATTCGTATCCGGTTTATTCTTGATAACATTTCATGTACCATTACTCACCGGTAATTGATCTCTCAGTCGAACTCCAGCGTAGACTTCACCAAATGAGCCAGTGCCGAGTAATCTTCCTTGGGAGTACTGAGCAAAGTTTCGTTTCCTTGACGCTGAAGCTGTATTTCAGAAATAGGAAAAAAATTTTAGGGAAATAAGTAATTTTATTAGCACTTTTTCTTTTCAGTAATTTTATACCTCTTTTGGCTGTTAGTATTCTTCGGGGTTTGGGAGATGATGTAGTGGCCTTATTATCAGCAATGTTACTGTGGTTGGCTTGTTCAAGTTGAACAGCCTTTTGTTCATTGCTGGTTTGTTGTTCTTCGTGTTTTGCAGGGATGACTTCATACTAAAAATGTATTGTAAATTATCAGGTGTACATTTGAGTTACCTCGCAAACGGCATGCGGGAAAAACTGGAAAAAATGAGGAAGAAACAGAACAATAAACGGGCCGGAAATGCGATTCAATCAACTAAATACACTAAGATATTACGCCCTTGTTCTAAAAATGCATAAGTGATAAATTATTATCGAGATAAAACATTCAGCTCTAATAATTCCAATACTGTAACTAACCATGAAATCCCTGGGAAGACTCTTGAAGAATTTCTTCTTTGGTGGAGATTCCAAAGTATCTATTCCAGRTGTTTGAGTTGAACATCGCTTTCGAGTTCTAATTAACCAGAAAAAAAAATCAAAGCTCGAAAAGAATTGTAATTTTAACATTTGTTTGCAATATCTCTATCAAATAGAATACAAAATACGCCGACAAAGTTTCAAAGACTTACGACATTTTTTTGTCTTGCCCCATATTGATTCACAAAGTTGCTAATTTTTTGATTTTACGCACACTGATTTTACACTTCTAGCTTTCAAAGGTTTTTGAAAAAGTGAAGAACGTTGCTACGACAACCTTTGATTTCGTCGATTGGAATCTAATGCCGCGCGCCTAGGAYCTTCGACTACGGCGCGTGCGGATAAATCAAGTACAGGTAGCCCAACCSGTCTACAACTTCAAAAACATCAATGACTATAAAAAAGTTGCTTTGTTACTTACTTTCAGATAATTCCAGTAACCTTTCAAAGCGGTTTTCAATTCTTTAWGGTTTGCATCAGCTATCCTTGCAGATCTATCCAACATATTTATGTGCACACAGCCGAAGCTTAAATGAATATGAGACAACTGCATTATAGTAGACTGAGAATACACACATAGCATAACTGAAGAAACAYTTTCTCATAAGGGACTTCGCAATATTTAACAGGAGGGGTGGTGTTGAGAACCAATAGAGGGGTAACATGTAATTTTACTATGTGAGTCAAAGCAAATAGGTCCTAAAGAACACGCCCGCGACCAGTGCTCTCTAGTGTAGAGACTCGACAACAAAAAGGACCTTATCAGCTTAAGTGCCTTTTACAATAACATCGCTCATGTAGGCTAGCAAAACAAAAACAAAAATCAACAAAAAAACATCCAGACAGCGCAGTATTTTGGAAGCCAATTTACATAGAGAATGCGCGTTTTGCCCGCCGCACTGACGATTTGATTTGCTCTATTCCAGAGGTGTGGACTCCAACTTAATATATAGCCACCGTCACGACTGACGTTATGATCAGGTGTTCTCCATGACTGGCGAATTTTTTTCAACTATTGATGTTTCAATTTTATCCGCATAAATCGAAGATGTAGAAGCTGAAAAACATATTGATGATTTATTAGACGAACAATAAATGAATAAATAAATTCACGGGGGGGGGGGGGGGGGGGGGGGGGGGGCAGAGCGCAATTTATTTCGTTTGCATTAGTTTGTCTTCACTTATACATTTGCTTCGCGTTTCCTCTCCTTTAAACTGATTCATGCTCGTAAATCTATTGGCCTGGTACGTCCTCACGTGTACCAAAAAACAATGCAGCAACGTTAGAAAAGCATGTGGCCGGAGTCAGTACTTGGACTTTTGATCAATCTTGTACGTCTAAGTGTCGTCGCAAGTCAGTAAAAAAATGATGAAAGCTAGCGGTAAACTAGTGTGATCTGCGTCGGTGTTTCTAACAGTTGTGCAAAAAGATAAATTTAACACCGCACAAAATAGGTGAAACAACTTACTGACGTTTCGTACGTTAATCCTTCGTCGGAGTAAAGAGGGTAAAATATGAAAACCGCATGTAATCCTTACAGGGGGAAGTAGATTGTTCATTTCCCGTTATTTCTGCTTTATTCATGACACCTCTCTCTATCCCTTGKCACCAGCTACTAGAAGTAATTCGAGTAAAGTTATTAGTGTTCTTAAAACAAAATATTTTTATTCTAAGCTTGTGGTTCTGCATTTTAAATTCAACTCGCACATGTTTCATTATTGTCRTTGAATGTCTTTGTTTATTAGGTTCCCTTTCTTCCCTGTCAATTCTTCTGGTCATATAAATATATCGTCTAAAAACTTGGTGACCGTCTTGGGACCAAGTATAATGGGGATCACCAAGCACGTTCATGGGATACTARCTGGGAATGGACTGCTTGATTCAAGGAGCGTTGTTCCACAATTACAGATGATTTCAATGGAATGTTAAGGTTTTAACTGTCTTTCGGTTAGAATATCTCCGAGAATGGCTCCGAGGAAAAAGAACGCAAAATCTGTAAGTTAATGCAATACAATATTCATAATTGGTTTCTCCACTCAAGAGTATTTCAGAATCATTTCTTTAATTTGCAATGATTTGTAGAATTGTCATAATGAACAGGCTATTTTCATCATTGAAGAGATAATTCACCTTGATATAAGATTCAATTCATTTTAACAATTGAACCATATGATCAAGTGTTCTTCTTTGAAGTCGCGCAAGGCTTGTGATCAAGTGTTCGAAAATTCCAGGGTTAGGTATCTTGCACGGTTGGTTGCAAAATGTTTAGTTTSGTTTACTGAACCGTTTGACGGCTATTACACGCAACTTGCATTACTCTAAATATTGAGTTGARCCTATCAAAACAGTTCATAATCAAAAAATTATTTTGCAGATATATAAAATACGCTGAGTACTGCCAATTTTAGTGCAAATGAGTTTTTTTTCGATGATACTGAATGCAAAAAAAAAGAAATTCTAAATTATGTTACTATTAAGACTAAAGATATTTGTATAACTAAAACTTCTTATTCAATCCTTGTTTAAACCAAGACAAAAAAACCGACAAAATGAGGTTTATATTTTTCTTATACATCTTCGAACGAAAGCAATTTCACTGAGCAATTTTAAAGCTCTATTCTTTTTCAACGGGCTTTAGGAATACCTTATTGAAAAAAAATGTAAGCAATATTAACTTTCTAATCTTATGGTGGCTTACTCTAAGAAAACTACAAGGTAAAAAAACACTTAATAGAAGTATTTTATTAATTACAACAAATCGGTATATAAACCGTCCTAGTCATTTTTTCTCGAGATGAAAAAGTTGTTTGATAAGATTAGCAGGTACACTGAGAAGTCTTGATGGTTGATACCAGTTAACATGACAGATATGCAAATATGTCATGTTATTAAATTAGTTTATCATAGATCAAYTTTCTTTGTTAATGGAACCGATGAGTTTTGTAAGCGAATGAAATGGTACAACATTAAATGTATAATGTTTTATCATTTGTTACACCAAAGTGCCCTTTTTTAAAACAGTAAAATGTCGTTATTCTAGTGTTTGTCTTTAGTTTCAAATTTCAAGGAGTTGAATTTCTTTGTGTAATCGGTTCCGATTTCATTTTTGATGAAAGAACAAGGTTTGAGAATCCTTTTTTCTATGTATAGATTTCGATTTCCTTCCCGTCAAAATCTAGATCTGTCGGTCGGCGTGAAGCGCGGGCTCAATAGATACTAAAAAAAGCAGTGCTTTGCGCCAACAATAACAACAGACTAGAGCGTAAAATTTTGGGCTATTAACTCTCACGCGAGTCTTAAGATTTTATTTTCGTCCGTATCTCCCGATCTCAAGATTTCAACGTAAAAATCTCGTTTTTCGAGAAAACGGCACATTCTCAGGTTTTTAGGCACAGTTTTACGAACAAATTGGGCCTAATTTGTGAATATACTATCAAGGTCTCTGACAAAGTGAAATATCGAAAAATGTAGACAAAATGGTGGATTTATCAATCTCAAGATCAGACCCGTACCCAGTCGCTTCTTTCGCGTTCTCAGCTTGGTCGCTGGTCGCACAATGCTTTCCTCCTTTCCATCGGCGTATTACAAAAAAATGCGCAACGACTGGGCACGAGTCTGTCTCAAGATAAACAATCCTGAAAACAACCCTGAAAATCGAGCCTCCGCAACCAGGGCCTTACTCTGGTCCCAGAAACTCGTTTTTTTTGTTTTTTTTGTTTTTTTTTTTTTGTTTTGTTTTGTTTTGTTTGTTTTTTTGTTGTTGTTGTTGTTTTTTTGTTTTCACTATTCGCTATATGTAACAAATAGAGAAGAGTGAAAAAAATGAAATTCTAGGATCCTACTGTCATGTAGACGGAATATAGACATGAATCGACTGTCCGATAGTCTCCTCGCAGCCGTTCTTAGTGGCGGGCTCCCTGTCTCACGCCACGGGGGACAGGGAGCCCGCCACTAAGAACGGCTGCGAGAAGACTAACTGTCCGATAGCCCGSGTTTTTTTCATAAAAAAAGTATTAAAATACTTTGATATACACYGTTCGGACACCGCTTCCACGTCTAGCTTACGATGTCAATTTTAAGTCAAACTCAGGGAATAAGAAAAAATAATTGATCAAAAAAACTATAAGTGCAGATAGCCGAAAGACTACCTGTTATCAAGACGCTCATTGGGCAATTAATCTGAATCTTAATTCAAAAATTTATTGCGGCATGACAACAGCTTTCATGTTGCGTGACATCAAAGAGTTTTCTTGAGATGCTTGAGATGCTTGATACATGCCTTGTATTACATAAAAATATCTACACCCTCTAAAGTAGCTGTGTACATCCGTTTCTCACACAGGCTACCTCTAAAGCAGTAATGACAGATGTTGTTCAAATCACATAAACGGATATGTTAATATAAAGAAAGATGGAAGACGTTGMATGTGACTAATGGCGGTGACTTTGACCCTTTGACCATTGTTGTGACGGTTGGTTTCAGYTTTGGCGCCAAAATACATAGGACGCCGAGAACGATAATTATTAGCGTGCATGGTAATCAAAACGTTTTCTGTATTCAAATCACTGCTCAAGGAAAACTCTAAATAYAACGCATAATTTTAAAGAACTTTCAATGTCTGCTATGACCACAACAAAAGATAGTAGATGCTCAGCTTTCTTTTACGGGGGATATTGTGATTTTATAAGCATTTGGTCATGATCTTTCGATTCATGTGGTGGCTCCTAAAAGAGCCGTTGTTTTATAGCAAACAGTTAACTGTTTACTTGCTGCTGGTGTACTTGGTGACGGCCTTGGTGCCTTCACTGACGGCGTGCTTGGCCAATTCACCGGGAAGAAGAAGACGTACAGCGGTTTGGATCTCACGAGATGTGATGGTTGACTTCTTGTTGTAGTGAGCGAGGCGGGAAGCTTCACCAGCAATACGCTCGAAGACGTCTTGAACAAAGGARTTCATGATGGACATGGCTTTGCTTGAGATACCAGTGTCGGGATGGACTTGTTTCATGACTTTGTAGATGTAGATGGAATAGGTTTCCTTTCTCCTTCGTGATCTCTTCTTCTTGTCACCAAGCGCGGCCTTCTTGCCGGCTTTCTTTTCACCTTTCTTTCCTCCAGCGGGTTTTGGCGGCATTTTCTTGACTTGCTATGTGAAGCTTGATGCACTCAAATGATGCCTACACTAAGGGAAAACTCCTATTTATATCAAGATCCCGAAGGATTAATTAAGATGCGGATCACAGATACGCAAACGTGATTGGTGGAAACAATATGGAAATGACCTGCATTGAAAATATTTGACCTTTTGCAGTTCTATGATTGGTGGATTTCGATCCTTTTATCTTTAGGTATCCAGTATAAAAACATGTTGTGCTGTAACTTAAAAACTATTCTGACTTTGAATTCCTGTGATAAMACWTCRGAAAACTAACATGTCTGGCCGTGGAAAAGGTAAAGCAAAGGGCACCAAGTCCAAGACTCGATCATCCCGTGCAGGGCTTCAGTTCCCAGTCGGTCGTATCCATCGTCATCTCCGCAAAGGCAACTATGCTCAGCGAGTTGGTGCCGGTGCTCCAGTTTACATGGCTGCTGTACTTGAGTACCTGAGTGCTGAAATCCTTGAGTTGGCCGGCAACGCTGCTCGTGACAACAAAAAGACMAGAATAATYCCTCGTCACTTGCAATTGGCTGTCAGAAATGACGAAGAGTTGAACAAGCTTCTTGGTGGTGTGACCATTGCTCAAGGTGGTGTTCTACCTAACATCCAAGCCGTCCTTCTGCCCAAGAAGACAGAGAAGAAATCATCATCTTAAGCAGTTAACTGCTTAACATGAAACAACGGCTCTTTTAGGAGCCACCACATGAATCGAAAGATCATGAGCAAAATGCTTTTCTCATACATAATCCATATCAATGAATTGTGTACTTGCTAACGCACGTAGGATAATAAAAATCAAAACTGAGTACAGATATAAAAATAGCAAATGTTTTCGTAGACAGCTCTACCCTAACTAAACAAAGCGCGAAAAGAAAGGTTTTAGTAGGCAACTGTCATAGTAGAGATAATAGCATTACGTCTTTCGGTTAATAAACAAAGCGATTCTATAAAGACAGTATTCATTTTAAAAGATTCTGAGCTATGTTAAAATGTTTTGCATAATCGTAAGACCATTTCAGCTCGTGCTTCTTGACATTTTCTCGTGTGTTTCAAATATCAAGCGTGCGTTTATCAGAGTATAAACCACGGCTGAGCCTCAAATAATTGTTAAAGTTTTGTCTTGTATGTTCTCACATATACAGGGTCCCTATCATCTTTTAGTTAATTCTACCATGTTTTAATTTTATTGTGTTATGCATTATGTCATTGAATTTATTTCGTGTGGTGGCTCCTAAAAGAGCCGTTGTTTGTTGATGATCAAGTCATCTAACCRCCAAAACCGTACAGAGTACGTCCTTGGCGTTTCAAAGCGTAGACGACGTCCATGGCAGTGACGGTCTTTCTCTTGGCGTGCTCGGTGTAGGTCACAGCATCACGGATCACATTCTCRAGGAAKACTTTGAGTACACCTCGGGTCTCTTCGTAGATCAAGCCAGAGATACGCTTGACTCCACCACGACGAGCAAGACGACGGATGGCGGGCTTGGTGATTCCTTGGATGTTATCCCGAAGGATCTTRCGATGACGCTTRGCGCCTCCTTTYCCTAGRCCTTTTCCTCCTTTGCCTCTTCCAGTCATGATTGTTAGATTCGTTCTCAACACGCTAGTAGAATAATGACCTACTTTAGAATATTCAGAGCCTAAATAGTACGTATCGAACCTCTGAGAAAAGACCTTAGCGTGAAAGCTGATTGGTTGATTATAGTAACAATAGCATCATGCTGTTTTCACTTCATTAATTATGGTAATGTCACTTCATTGATCCTGCATTGATGCCCATAGTTCCGTTACATCACGTTTGAACTCAGGTATCTTCAATATTTACGAACAGAATCTATTAAATCTAAGTAACGATACACCTCGAGTAACAATCTTTATGCAGGATACCTTTTGCCTCAAAATCATCATATAATARCCTTCTTTTTAGAAGCTGAAAATTCGTGRGCTTGAGTTTTTGCAGTTTAACAAACGGCGGGATCAAAAAATAAACCAATCACCTTTAAGGAAGAGTTAATTCAACCAATGATARTGCAGTGTTTATCYGTCCAATCARAACTAAGGGCGCTTAATATAAACTTCAAGCTTTCAAAAATTTGYCTTATCAGTTTTGTTCGCAATTCAAACCAAAATCATGGCTCGTACAAAGCAAACCGCTCGTAAATCCACTGGAGGAAAGGCTCCCCGAAAACAACTAGCCACAAAGGCAGCACGTAARAGTGCCCCAGCAACTGGTGGAGTMAAGAAACCACATCGTTACAGGCCTGGTACAGTCGCTCTCCGTGAGATCCGTCGTTACCAGAAGTCGACCGAGTTGTTGATCCGCAAACTTCCCTTCCAACGTCTCGTCCGTGAAATCGCTCAAGACTTCAAGACCGACCTTCGCTTCCAGAGTTCAGCAGTAATGGCCCTTCAGGAGGCTAGTGAGGCTTACTTGGTTGGCCTGTTTGAAGACACGAACTTGTGCGCCATTCACGCCAAGCGAGTAACCATCATGCCTAAGGACATTCAACTTGCAAGACGAATCCGTGGAGAGAGAGCTTAAACTGGTTCTCTGTTATATAAAAACAACGGCTCTTTTAGGAGCCACCATATGCATCTGAAGTCAATGATTTGCAATGCTTTATTAAACAATGAATATGTTTGACCAAAATACTAGTAAAAGTAAAACAAAATAAATAAAAGGTTTCCGTACACAATATCTAACCAATATTAGAAAGGTTAATGAAAAATGATTGTTTAACAGGGTATTCTAGAATTCGTAAACCGAGAAAAAGATACAAATGACTGAGTTCACGATAGCGTGAGGGAGTTGAATAATTTGATGACCGACCGTTGCGCGAGATTTATTTTGGCGCCAATTCACTAATCAAAACGACACAGAAACTTTTCAAGTCGGGCAAATCATTAGACTCTATACTTTTTATAGGCCTATATTACATGAAAGTATATACAGTAGAATCAGTGAGTCCATTCAGTATACTACGTTTGGCGCAGTGAATATCCCTTGCGAATAGTGAATAAGTATTAAAGTTACTTATGGCTTTGCTGCTACTAAAAAGCCTACTCTCAGGGTATACGACCTATTACTATTCAAACGATCTAGCAAATAATTGCCTTTATATCCTTTTTTATAAACTAAAAAACGCGTTATGAATGAGATATACAACTTTATTTTAAATAKGTGCGTTCAATGTAAGAAAACTGTTACATTGGAAGTGWTATAACAGTGAACTCTAGCTCGCTCGTGGCCTAGAACAACAAAGAAGCATCGGTCAGGAGATAACAAGAAGCAGAACTGTCAATGTTTTCCAGACATCTTTAGTTATTTTAGATATAGAATAAACAAGCTTTCCTTAAATAAATTACCCTACTGGTTAATTTGATCTGGTTTACCTAATCACTAATAAGAAATAAGAACAGAAAAATCGGCGGTAAAACCATGCCAGAGTATGGCACGTTGTTCAAAAGCGATGCCGATGTGTTTGTTACTCGAGCAAAAACTCGAAATTCTCAAAATAACTCGACGACTGGACTACAATAATATTATAAACTAAGTTATGTATAAGCATTATATCACYTAATGTTAAAATATAAGGTATTAATGCTTTTAGGGAAGAGTAAGAAGCATAAATATCAAAGCAACTCGACAAGCGAACACCTCAATATTACCACAAAAASAGGAATAACTACGTTAGGAAAATAGATTTTTCAACATAACTTGGCATAGRTAATATTTATGAGTAKCTTGACCTAAAGACATCAATRAAATAAAGAGCTAAACTCCATGCGTGCGAAAACAATCCTTCAAAGTTGACCAACAAACACATTTTGGTCGTCCGCCATATTGGTTTATTGTCTTTATGCATTGTTTCCACGGAGGTCCGCTCACAAGTGTATATACATCCGCTCGGCSGCGAAAAATCATTRTAMCATATTCTTCYTACGGTAGTGAATTGTTTATCTCAAAATGTCTGATGCACCAGCTAAGAAGGCCAAACAGCCGGCCAAACCCGCTGAACATCCCAAATACAGTGAAATGATCAAGGCAGCGATTCTGTCCTTGAAAGAACGATCTGGCTCTTCCCGCCAAGCCATCGTGAAGTACATCAAAGCTAACTACAAAGTAGGAGATAACTGCGATGTTCACGTCAAAATGGCTCTTAAGCGTATGGTAGTCGCAGGATTACTTAACCAGCCCAAAGGCACAGGCGCTTCTGGGTCTTTTAAAGTAAACAAAGAGAAAGCAGAGGAGAAGAAGAAACCTGCAGCCAAAAAGCCCGCAGCGAAGAAACCAGCCGCCAAGAAACCTTCCGCGAAAAAGTCGGCTCCAAAGAAAGAAGCCAAAAAACCAGCCAAGAAAGCAGCGGCTAAGAAATCAACAMCTAAGAAAAGTAAACCTAAGAAACCGGCCGCCAAGAAACCAGCACCAAAAAAGCCAGCAAAGAAGCCTGCAGCCAAGAAAGCAGCAAAGAAACCTGCGGCCAAGAAGTCTGGAAAGAAAGGCGCCAAAAAATAAATAGTCTTACCTTTAACAAACTAAAAAAACGGCTCTATTAGGAGCCACCTACATGCTTGAAAGTCAATTCCTCAAAATGCCCTGAGTTTCTACTTAAACGTACATGTCCAAGTTTATTTCTCCCATTATTAACGAAGGGGAAAGTTTGTGTTTTAAAAGTATTATTATAAAGGGGTTAAAACACGCAAARAGTGTTTATATAAAGCACTAGACTGAAATTTTTGAAGATTTCATGTCATTTTACCATCATAAATACCAGTTTATGAAAATTGAAGTAAATCTTTACAATTAGTTACAGAACTGAATCACAACTTTAAATTAGTGAAGCGGTACTAAAATAATCGTTTGGTTGCAGTTTTTATACACTATATTGCATAGGAATGTGCCAAGGGCTTTGAAAAAGGTTGAACTGGCAGTTGACAATTAAATGGTTTTATGTATAGTTTAAAACACGAGAGAGAGTGTTTTATCAGGTATAAAGATTCGAGCCGAAGGCGAGAATCTTTATACCTGATAAAACACAATCTCGAGTGTTTTAAACGGCTTAAAAAACTCCAACACTAATTTGAAACTCAAATCCGTTAAAATTCTTGGAGAAATTGCCGTACAAATATGTTCAGAGATAAATGGGGCAAACTGATCATGCGCGAATCACTTTACAAAGCACTCTTGTCATCCCACATTGAATACGCATAAAGTAAAATAGAACCGCTCTTGGCTGTTCACTGAAATCGGTTGACATCCTGCATTGGTCAATGATCAGGTTTCAAACCTGAGACCTTTGCTAGGGTCATGGACCTTTATATCTGATAAAGGTCACCCTTATTAGTATTCTTTATATAAAGAATACTAATAAGGAGTGTTTTATCAGATATAAAGGTCCATGCATGTGACCANCTCATATTTGTAAATATTTCTCTGATGTGGCAAATGGCCTCAATGGTAATAAATATCAATGAAGGAATCAATGAAGGGCATGCTTGTTTATGTCAATATGCTATTATTTGTGGGATCTTTATTAATAGATCACTAGATAAATAGTGCTGCCAAAGGCCCAGGGAAGGCTAAGTTTTCAACAAGTCTTTAATATATAATCGCTGTTCAATGTTTGTTATGTACAATGCATAGCCAAGATTATATAGTTGGCCACCAACAAACATTGGTTAAAATACCATGGGTTCCGCATGTGTATATTTTTACGAATTTACATGTAATTATGGATTTGCAATACTGATCCATTCACATGTTTAAAATTAAGTAAAATGGAATTAGATAAATAAAATAAGACAACAAACACCATTTTCAACCTTAGCATGTTTTTTTTATTGTCAGCAAAAGTTTCGACATAACAATAAAATTGAAAGTGCAAAAGTAGCTTCTCTGCAAATTTTTGATAATAATAGATAATAAGTTATTTTAATAATTTAAAAATGATACTACATGTATAGGTTAGTCATTATAAACAAAATAAGTTCTATGACAATGGTTTGTCTCAAACAAGAAATTTTGAGAAAAGAGAAAAGCTGGTTTGGATCRGCTGTTGCTAAGAAGTGGTGTGTTGACTTCATTACACAGTAATCAATTATTATTATCATATTATTCATTAGTTATTTTTTACTTTAAGAAGGACAACTTTGTTGAAAGCAGAGTAAAAAGAGCAACAGTGTTTTATCTGTAAACAAGTGTCATGATACTATAGTTGAGCAAACAATGAAAAAACAGTCAATAAATCTTGCAAGCTACAAATGATAGGGACAACAGAGGTGCAATAGGGAGCAATCAGAAAGCAGGTTTCCATTCATACTGTATTAATTACTGTTCTATCAAAGATAAGAACTTGATAGAAACACAGCTGCATATTTTGTTTTATTTTCATTTTTTTTAACTCCAACACTACATATTTAAGATTTTCACACAAATGTTTGAGTTGTGAGATAAGTGTGGCATCATCATGCATGAATTACTTTAATTTTTCATGSATTATAATTAATGATTTTTTAAAGTCATTAAAAATGTATGCTCAATGTTGCATGTAGTGGATAATTGTCAATAATGATACCTTTGAATAGCTGATCCCTATGAAGTCTTAAGAACAGTTGTCACAGGTGAGCTGCATTTAGCCATATGTTGGTTTGAACAATCTTTGGTTTGTCAACAGATGCTAGAAAATGAATTAAAACATTGATAATCATTTTGACTAATATATTCATTAAGTATATATAAAATGTATCAGAAATTATGAGATATCATCGCTATATTTTTTTTAGAAATATACTATAGCTAGGCAGCTTCAAAAAAATATTGGTGATGATATCCCATCATTTCTGATATCTTTTATATATACACTTATAAGTATTATACTGATGTAAAGATGGGTTAGACAAAGAGTTACCAAATTTGACATGTTGGGCGTGAAAGGCAAACTTTTTGCTAAGTAAGCTAATTTTCCACTTATAGTTTAAACTTATGAAATTCCAATTAGGAAGAAAAAGGAAAACCTTTTATGACATCAAGCTTACATGTAACTTTAGGAGTTCAAGGGCGGATCACCAGGATTTTATTACACGTACCCTGCTATGCAGGGGGTACGTGTAGTAAAATGCTGACACTTTCTTGTTTTTTTTTGTTTTTTTTTCACAATGTCGAAAGTTTGGCTTCGGTACATCTTCGTAGCCAATCACATTGTGAATTATATATCCGGTAGCCAATCACATTACGTTGTGTATTCCGAACGCTATAGCCTGTCGATAATCCCGTTCGCAACATTTCCAACTCGTTCTGCACAATGTTTTATCCGCCATTTTGATGAATATTGTCTCTACTAACGAATATGGAACAGAACATGAAGGTTTACGACCAAAATCTGGAACTCATTACTTGTCTGGGTGTTCGGACCAAGGGTATGTTGAATTGTGATGACGAGGAGATCTCACTACAGAGATCAACACGCTTACTACTCGTGAAGCAACGGCAACGATATAGTGATTGGGTTCCAATGATTGAATATCAATACAACTCTTTAGAAAATGCTTATTAATTCCATGGCTATTCAAACATCTGCAATAGATATGTCGAGTTTTAATGTAGATGTGCAAAAATATTGTGTTACTATCATATCAAAAGTTAATAAAGCGTCACGTTGTAACCAAATCATGCCTAGTTATATATCTCCGGGTATATCTGACCTTAAAATTATACTGCAGAATCACAAAGGCAGTTACAGCTGAAATTTTAAGAGCCACCACATATAAGCTTATCGCAAAAATCACATATATCTTGGCAAGGCTCGATGGATCAAATCATTTCTTTATTCTGTATCAGTAAGGTTTTAATAAGGCCTCATTTACTAATGATCTCACAACATCATGCACAACAAAGGGTACGTGTCAACCCTGCATACAGGGTCTAGTTTTTTT